ACGGAAATCATCAGCCAACTACCGTTCCTATGCCACCGAGCCTCATGCCAAGGTACGATATTCCAGGGTAGCAAGTGATATGATTACGGCAAAATACATTTCATTGTAAAATTACCAATTTTGCCTTTACCAAAATTTCAATGAAATGCCCCAATAATTTCCCATTGTGGCCCTGCTTAGTTGAAATTTGTTTCAAAAAAATTATCCACTTTTTTTAACCTTTCCGTGTTATTTTCTGAGCTCTGCGATGCCCCCCAAACCACCCTTAGCATTCAGTCAGTGAACAGCATGTTGCAACAAATAAAAGGGTGTAATAGTGGTACACATAAAAATAAAGTACACTATCTGTGTTCAGACCCTTCAGAATAACGTAGCACCTAGCAAAATTTTTGACCACAAATCAACACAAATTAAAATTAACATATATATATATATATATATATATATATATGTATATATACACATCAGGACTCAAAATTTCAAGTCCTGAGCTACTAGCCTGGCCCTAAGGGTTACTCCCCACCAACCCCACCCAACCCCTACTCTGCCCCACACCTAATTCTGCCCCTAAATACGCCCTCATAAAGGATCTTCTGAAATGACACTGTTAAATGTTTTATGCAGAATAAAGTTAACAAAAATAAATATTAACAACAACAGGAAGAGGAAGCGTATGTAGGGGTCTTGCAATGCACCTGCCATGCTCCTGCAAAAATCTGTGCATTTTTTTTTTTAATAAAGGTGACCCAAGAACTACTTTAGCACAAGTAGAGCGAAAGGGGGGCACTGATACTCTGCATAATGAAGAGGTGGGGCAATGGCACTCTGCGGAGTGAGGGGGGCACTGATGCCCTGTGGAAGGAGAAGGGGGGCAATGATGCCCTGTGGAGGGAGAAGGGGAGCACTGATGCCCTGTGGAGGGAGAAGGGGGGCACTAATGCCCTGTGGAGCGAGAAGGGAGGCACTGGTGCTCTGCAGATGGAGAGGGGGCACTGAGGGGGGCTGTAGTCAGAAGGAGGTAAGTGGGGCTGATTTTAGCAATGCTGGGTGTTCTTTAAGGCAGGCATCTTACTGTTTGTAACAGAGTGAAGTGTTTACAAATGACTCTACAAGCAGAACGGGCAATTGTATGGCAAGAGCAGTCTGTTCAGGTGAGAAGAGCAAAGATGCAGCAATCACCTCTTTCCATGGCTTCACAGCAGCAACCTATGCAAACCCATGTAGACACAGGGAGAACATGCAAACTCCAGCCATGTGGTCCGTGGTTGGGATTCAAACCAAAGACGCTAGTACTGCCAGGTGAAAGTGCTAAACATTTAGCCACTGTGCTTGACAATACAGGGACAAATAATAGCAATCCTGATAATACACGGGCATCAAAGAACTACAATATGTAAAAAATATGGAGAGAGAGAGAGCCCTCTAGTGTGCTACTAGTTTTAGTGTAGCTAAATGTATTGTCGTATGACTCATGGTACCTGTGTGAATCTGTAATTAGGTCGGATTACTGCAGGTCAGGCTGGGTGACTGAGCAGGTTGGGACTCTATTGCCTCACCTGGTTCTGGAGGACCATGGAAGCTTCCAGAAGCCAGTGGGTGGAAGGGGTTGAGACCTATATCTGCATGTTTTGGGAGTCTAACCAATCCCAGGCTTGAAGGCCCTGGTAGTGTGGTGGGGATAAACCATAAATATGGGAGAGTTAGGCTAACAGGGAAGTCAGGTGGAAGATAGAGTGCTGAGGAAACTTTCAGTGGCCTGGGAGGGATCCCCTAGGTCTTGGGGGGGGGCGGGCCTCCAGACTGGGCTTGGGCTGTCTTAGGAAAATACATTCAGCATCACGGTATGAACAGAATTTATGCCTGGGAGCAGTGGGAGCAAGGACAGTGTGAGCACATCAGCACACCCAGGGATTCACAAGGGGAGAGACTGCCATGTGTAGCAAGCTTTCAAAGGACAGCATTGTGCCTAACCCTTTATCCTTGTCCTGAGAGATCTTCAGAGCAGCCAGAAGGTCTCTGCAGGCTGTGGAACTGGGAGCAGTTCTAAAGGGGAGAGGAGATTATGCTGCATGTAGTTTGCAACAATCTGAGCTAACTTTCAGAGGGGCCTAAGATTCCTTAGCTGGTAAGGAACTTTTGCTACTGATCTGTAAGGACTGACTGCATTCAAGGAGAATAGTCGAGGATCTTTTTCTGTAAATAGGAAAGAAGTTGTCCTCGTGCATTGATTCAGTCAAGCTGGGCATCCCATAATTCCTAATATCCCATCCAAGTTATTTCCCCTAATAAAATAACAAAAACCAAGTTCACGGACTGTTCACTGACTGTGGATGCAAGAGGGGGAAAATGCATGTTGCCTGGCTGTGCGAAGCTTAGGGGGACCCAGAAACACAGCAGCCCTCAAGAGGATAGCTAGATATATATATTGTATATTTCTATTATTGTTATTTTGTGCTAACAGCAAATAAAGCTGTCTTTTTACAAGGTTTGCTCAAACTGGTCAAGACAGCTTCCAGCCTGGTAACACGTGAGAACTGACGGGGTTTGCTAACTTTAAAAGTATTCTCATTTCTATCCTATCAAGAAAAAAATCTAATGTTTTTCTTGATAAACTGGTATTCATTCTGGAATAACAGTATTAATCAGTAGCATTTGTATTTTAGGACTGTTCTTTAATCCTATTGAGTACAGTGATGTAATGTGACCTCAGATTAGTCCTTGTGGGTCGCATTTGGACTGCTGCTCGTCGGAACTTGAACCTTAATGTATAGTTTGTCTACTAGCTATCCTTACAGACATTCACATATTTTATATCACAGGAAAGAAAGTGCATGGAGCTGATAGCATATAGATTATAGCGCAGGAGGGTGATAACCAGATTGATTTGGTGGTTTCCAATTTTTCAAATGCAATGAGAGTTATGCGGAAGGCTATGGCTCCCCCTAAGGTTGCTAGCAGTCCCAATGATCATTAATGTAAGAGGGAACTATTCTAACCAACAATATTAGGCTCCTTGCACACGGGGCATTTTAATAATGCTGTTAACGTTAGCTGTGTAAAGTCACGTTAGAAATGTGACTTTTTCAGCATTTTTTAGCGTTTTTGCATTAGTGTTTAGCAGCGTTTTTTTCACGTTTGCGCTTTTTAGCTTTTTTTGGTAAAAAAAATATCAAAAAAAATGCCGGTTTGCCACGATTTTACCCCGTTTTGCTGCAGTTTTCAGCGTTAGTGTTTTTTTACAGCTAAAAAACTCCTCTAGAAACCCACTAGTTCTGGGGGTTTTTTTCCAGCCAAAAAAATGTCCCTGCCAAAAAACGTTGATTACAGTCTATGTGTGCATGAACACATATGATAACATGCTGGGGGGTTTACTGGCTGTAGAAAAAAAAATGTCAAAAGCCAAAAACAGTAGCTGTAAAAACATCCAGTGTGCATGAGGACAAAGGGGTATTCTTTCCACTGACCACCAATGTATGGGGGCTTTTCTTCCACTGACCACCAGTGTAAGGCTAGGTTTATATCAGAGAAGGTGCGGGAAGAAGTGTAATTGCATGCCTGTCCGCACCCGCATAAAAAAAAACATGCTACTGTTTAGGAGATGCATGGGGGTACCATTATTCTAAAAGGCATCCCCACACACTGGACATTGCAGCGTGGTTTCCTCTACTGGGAACCTTACTGCACTGCCGAGTCTTTGTAAAAGGTGCAGGGACCTTTTCCCTACATTTTCAGGAGGTATAGCAGTCCATTGAAATGAATGAGCTGCTATGCCCGAGCAAACACAGCTGTCAGAAACTGCATAGATTTGAAGAGGGGGCAAGGGAGCCCTTCTCCCACTTCTTACTTTGATCACCAATAGTCTGGAACACTGCTTTCTGATTGATTGCAATAACATTACTGTGTCATTGATACTGTCTAAATAATGTAACAAATGTGATTTGCTTTTAACAGAGAAAACCAAAGATTTCTGCATCCCGGAAACTGCAGTTGAAGGTAATGTGATTTTCTTTTTTTATATATTAGAGCAAACCATGAATAACATAATGGGAGAGTGTTTTAATATACAAAGATAGTGGAGGTAGTGTCTTACCTCTATGTCCTTTAGCCTGGGTTTACATACATGCGGTGCGGTATATTGCATGTGATTCGCACAGGAACCGCACCACATTCCTGTGCAAATCACATGCGATTTGTGTGCGGTGCGATTGGAGCCGTACATTTTGTATGGCTCTATTTGCACTGCACCCGCACTAAAAACGTGCAGGACCCTTTGTTGGGTCCGCACTAGAATCGGATTGCATGGGTATTCACACCTATGCGATACGATTCTGCACATTGCACCGCGTTTTGCGGACCGCTTTCAGGGTGTTGTTAACATATACACACCCGCAGCGGTTCGCATGAACTGGGTGCGATTCTGATGCAGTACGGAATTGGCACTGAAAATGCTACGAATTCCGCATCGCATCATTGTGAACCAGGGCTCAGTGGGCAAGTGAGGATTTGTAAAATCACTGCTCCTCAAGTATTCATCATAAATGTTAACAATTTTGTAATGGTCAACCTGGCTATCCCTAAAGCTAATCTTTGATCTCTGTGTATCTCTAATAATGTCATTGATTCTTTTTTGGATGGACATGCTATAGCTATAAAATTTGTCCTGGAATACAACATGGATTATTTAATCAACAGCGCAAAGTGCAGTAACTTATAGCAACTATAGCAAGGATATCATTGGATCCTTCTGAACCAATACAGTAACCCATAACAATCATCAGAATTTGCTTTACTGAATTTACTTTGGTGGGTGCCTAACTGAAGTCAATAAGAGAATATAAAATGCTTTTTTTTTTAACATTAGATTTTTTATTGAAAATTTTTCAAATACATACTGTACATAACATATGGATATAGTCATTGTTGTAGGATATGACATAAACCACTAGTAAACATGTGGGACAGAATAATGGTAAATGTTCTTTATTTTGATTAAGGGTCTGATGCTTCAGATTGCTAAGCATGAGATGGAACAGGAAGAGGAAGCCAGAGCCCAAGAGAAAGAGAGAGTCTTGGCTGAGCGCTGTGAACCTCTTCAACTTTCTGGATTGTCAATTTCTGAGCTTCAGGTAAAGAATGGTAATAAACAATAAGAAATTTCAGAGTTGGGAGCTCTGAAAACAGTTCTGTAAAAGGTCTGTAAAACATTCAAGCAATATTAAACCCAAAAGCAAACATTTTTTCATCTTGCAGCTTACCAATTCTTACATGTCATAGCTGCATTCGTTTTCTTTTTTACATATTCTTTCCTTTATTTTCATCTGATGAACCAATCAGTAAATCTGCCGCTGTAGCAGTTAGAGTGTTAGGACTAACCATTTAACACTGCCAGGGGTGCTTACAATGATCAGGTTTTATTCATTTATGTAAAACCTTTATCTCAAAAAAAAAAAAAAAACTGTTGCTGTAACTGCTTGCATAACTTCAGAGTTCAGCTTCAATGTGTTAGTGTATCTAAATGTGTTAGTACATCTAAACACCCCCTCCTCCCCAGACTGACAATGATGCTGTGCAAAGGTTTCTCTGTTGCTCCTTCATTCAGAGTGGAGGTACTCTAATACAGGAGGTGTGTTACTGACCAGATCACCAGGTGAAAACAGAGGGGGAAAGGCCTAAAAAAGAAAACTAATGCAGCCATCACAGTATAAGGATTGGTAAGTAGCAATATATAAAATTTTTGGTTTTGGGTTTACTACTGCTTTCAACTCATATGTCATTTATACTGTATACATCCCCAATTCCAAAAAAGTTAGGACACTGTGTAAAATACATAAAAACAGACTGTAATGAATTGAAAATTTCATAAACCCATATTTTATTCACAATAGAAAATTTACAACATATCAAATGCCTAAACTGAGAAAATGTACCATTTCAAGAAAAAAATTAGGTAATTTTGAAATTGATGGCAGCAACTTGTCTCAAAAAGTTAGAACAGAGCAACAAAAAGCTGGCAAAGTAAGTGGTACAAACAAGGAGGAGCTGTAAAAACATTTGCAACTAATTAGGTTGAATATCAACAGGTCAAAACATGATTTGGTATAAATAGAGCATCTTAGAGAGTCAGATTGTCTAGGAAGTAAAGATGGGCAGAGGTCCACCAAAGGTGTGAAAAGCTGCATCAAAAAATGTTTGAACAATTTCAGAATAATGTACCTCAACATAAAATTGCAAAGACTTTAAATAGATCATTATCTACAGTACAGTACTAATCATCTGCATGGGAATCTTTGTTGGAACTTTTACTTTGCTTTTGTGTTTAAATAAAAGTGGGCTTCCATGTCCTTAAAACACAACTACCCCCACATCATATGACGTATAGACTTAGTGCTTGGGAATGCTATTTTAAAACAACCGCCACTTTTTTTTTTTTTTTAGATCAGAAGAGAAGTGATTATGCTGTTATATAATGGTTTTTCATTCTTGTTCTTGTAGGATATGTGCAGAGAGCTTCATGCCAGGGTTGATGTTGTGGATGAAGAAAGATATGACATGGAAGCTAAAGTGAATAAAAATGTTATTGAGGTACTGTACAATTTGTCATGTATAAAAAATAACTTGGTTAATAATAAGTACTAAAAGCATTTTAAAACTGACCCATCAGTAACTTTTCAGACCTGCATGAATAGGTATATATGAGTACACATGTTACAAAATATATAAAGAAACAGTATAATTTAGAAAATTATCCTTCTTCTATCCCTAAAAAAAATTTTATATACCTGTTTGTGGTCTACATACACAATAATTAGCATACATTCATAAGAAAAAGTATATCTGATACTAGGCACACGTTAAGTGCAAGTTACAGAAACCCCCAGTTGCCTGTTGGAATTTATTTATTTTAATACTTGTGTAACACCCTCCTAGGTAGCTAGGGGGAGTTAGATGGTTGTTTTTAGTTAGAGGCTGAACAGCAGCCTGGTGGAATAGTCACAGGGGGTCAAATTTTGGTCAGGGCTGAGAGGCTCTGCAAACCAGCTCTTTGGAACTTACCTTTGATCTAGGGATTTGGAGGAGTCTCTGGAATTCAGTGGGCAGGGGTGAGAAGTGGCTGGTCTGCACTCTCAAGGGATCCTAGCCAATCCCCAAGCTGAAGGTTTGACATGGGGTCAGGACAGCCCTTAACAGTGACTGAGCCTACTCAGCAGCAGGAGCGTTCGGGTGGAAGATGGACTGAGCAAGATGGTGTTTAAAGCCTGGGAGAGGGTCCAGGAGAGGGGCCTACTTGTAGGCAGAGGAGCTGGAAGAGAGGATCTTTCAGCCTCACTGTCCCCTGAGAGAGGACAACCTGGGAAGCAGAGAAGGAGTCAGCCCAGCATAAGGCCTGAAGGCAGCCACCAACCCATAAGCTTACAGGGGAGACTAAAGGAGTAACCCCACACCTACTGGGCCGGATAAGGGGAAAGGGCAGTCGGCTGGGAAACCTGACTAGCCCCCATCTGGGACTGCTTTCATTTAAGGTGTCAGCTTCTGGGAACCCTCTGCCAGGGATTCCCTCAGGCAGCTGGGTGAAGAGATTTAATCTGGAGTCCGAGGTGGTACACAAGGAGAGGCTGGCTAACTATCCAAAAAAAAAAGAAAAAACCCTTTCTGACTATTGGTACATAGTTCCAGGAAGTTTTCCTCAGTTTTATAGTTCTTTGGGCATCCCATGTACCCCTCATCCCCATCCAAGTTGTCATCCTCTAATAATATATACAAAAAAACCAAGTTCAAGGACTGTTTACTGTTTCTGGAGTGCAAGGTCTGAAGGAACTGCATTTTGACTGGCTGTGCAGAACTATAAGCAGACCAAATCTCTAGCAACTCCTAAGGGAGTAGTGTTTCACTTGTTATAGTTGTACAATAGTGATAACAGGCGCACAGAACCAGGGTGGTAGTGAATAAATTATATAGCCTGTCCAATAAAAAATCCAGTGTAAAAACAGTCCATCCACTTGGCAAGCTGTGTAGAGAGCAGAAGCTCCAGTAACACGTAAAACAGAAGAAGACACAGTGCCTCTTCTGTAAACTGTTACAATTTATTAGTAAAAACAGAGGTTAGTACACTCACATTTTCAGAGTGAGACAAGGGCTCATATGTAGTATGGGTGGTGGGGCCATCTGAATGTCAGGCTCAGCACTGGGGCACAGTGGATGCACAGGCAGTGTGAAGCAGAGAAGCTGGTGGGAACCTCTTTCCAGGAAAGCCGAGATGGAGCGCACCATGGAGCACAGGCATCTGTGGATGTTGTGGAGTTGTGACGTCACCCAGGGGGAAGCAAAGAAGCAGCGCATTTCTGAGCATGTGCGAAGTCACAATCGGACATGCGTACTGCTTTGTCAAGCTATCTTACGAGCAACAGAAATGGGTTATTTATAGGCTGAGTGGGTGGCTTATGGGGCACTTCATAGAACTACATGGCTCAGCAAGGTGCTTCTCTGCTTCCCCCTGTGTGACGTCACAACGCCGCAACGTCCACAGATGCCTGTGCTCCACAATGCACTCCATCTCGGCTTTCTTGGATAGAGGTGCCCACCAGCGCTAGCTTCTCTGCTCCACACTGCTTGTGCATCCACCGTGCCCCAGTGTTGAGCCTGACATCCAGATGGCCCCGCCACTCATACTACATATGAGCCCTTGTCTCTCTCTGAAAATGTGAGTGTACCTACCTCTGTTTTTACTAATAAATTGTAACAGTCTGCACTTAGAGGCACTGTCTCATCTACAGATATACTTGTTGTAGTTGGAATTCCACAACTGTTTTCTACATAGTGTTTGTAAACTACTTCTAAAGTTACACCTGTCATTGTTAAGCACTTGCCCTCCCGAGAATTTACCCCCCTTCCTGACCAGGCAATTTTTTGTGTTACGGCCCACCGATGGCTTTCACTGACAATTGCGCAGTCATACAATACTGCACCCAAATGAAATTTACATCCTTTTTTTCTCATGCATTGAGCTTTCTTTTGGTGGTATTTGATCGTCTGTGCGCTTTTTATTTTTTGCACTATAAAAAAAAGACCAACAATGTTGAGAAAAAACAATATTTTTCTCTTTTTGCTATTAAACATGTCCAGTAAAAAAATTTAAAAAATCAAATGTCGTCATACATTTAGGTGAAAATGCTACATGTCTTTGCAAAAAAAAAAATCCCAATACGTGTAAATAAATTGTCTTACGTGAAAGTTATAGTGTTTACAAATGGCGGTATAGATACTGGAATTTTTTTTTTTACTAGTAATGGTGGCGATCAGTGACCTATAGCGGGACTGCGGCGGGCACTGGGGGGAACTGACTTGGTGTCACTGACATCCCCAGTGACAGCAATACAGTGATCAGTGCTAAAAAAAAAGCACTGACACTGTACTAATGCCACTGGGCAGGAAGGGGTTAACGTGAGGGGCAATCAAAGGGTTAATTGTGTGCCGGGAGTGTTTTTCTTAGGGGGCAGTGTGTGTGCTTTACTGTAAGCACACTGCTCTGGATGGCTGTGCTGTGCACAGCCATCCAGAGCAGTGTACCAAGCTGACATGGAGGAGGACTGTTAGCAAACAAAGCAGTCCTCCTCCCTGTCAGAGATGCTCGGTAATCACAGGGTGCCCAGCAGGTAATCAGCATGCAATCCCGGTGATTGACAGCTACGGGCGTGAATTGCTGCGCGGGTAGGGCATACGAGCGGCTCGCTTGTGTCTCCTACCCGGAAACACAAAATCACGTATATATACGTGATTTTGCACACCCCGGCTGCCCTATAGCAGTATATCTGCTATAGGGCGGTCGGGAAGTAGTTAAATGCAAGTCCCAGTTCAAGTAATGTGGATATGCTTTGCAATGATATTTAATAGTGATGAGCCAAATCCACCTGGGTCTGTTTGAGGCTGGCTCAGTGAACATTACTAAGGTTCAGAAGTAGACTCTGAACCCTATTGAAATCAATAGGAGCCCAAGGTGAAAACTGATATTTGTTATGGTCCTAATAGGCAACTGATTGTGAAACAAATGGCATGTTAGGCTGTGCACTGTCCTACCACAGCAAAAACCATTTTAAATTCATTTTGGTTGGGAGCAGTGATTTTAGTAATGCTTAAAGTGAACAATAAAAATGTAAAATTCCTTTAAATAACATGCCTGGGAGATACCTGACCCTGCCTGTGAAGTGAGGCATCTGTATGATGTATACAACTTACCACAGCAAAAACTGACATTGTATGTTTAAATCCCCCCACCTCCCCACATGTTGGGGGCATGTGGCCTGGTATAGTATGATGAAAGGGAGTATCCTGAACAACCACTGACAGCAGGAAGCTGCCATTTATAACAGTGTTGGTAATGCTGTTATTATACATGACTGTCAGGGTCCAGATCTGAACCTGTGACCTCTGCAGTGCCTGGCTGTAGCTCTCCAATTTAGATTGTTTACTGACTACTCTTCTGCTCTATTCCTACCTGCTATATCTGTAATTGGACCTCAGCTTGCTCACCTTGTGGTGGGGTGAGCCTGAGGACCACGACCTGTCACTAGCATGCAGCAAAACCTATCTCCACCATCAGGTGCTCTGGTGAAGATTGGTTAGAGCCCACGTCATCTGTCAGAGTGACCTGCTTGTGTACTCATCCTGCTGGTCGGTGGGAGTTTCTCTGCTATATCTACTGGTCTTCGAACCTGACCCTGACCATGACAACAATGTTCTGCTATTGCCAGGCATTTGTCATTACCCCTGAACAGACAGGGCTTTGTCCAAACTTGTGTTCACACCAAAATTTTAACTGATCCCTAATTGTTTAGATAGAAGACAAATTGCTGCTATAACAATAACATCATGAGACAAGTTGCTTTTGGAACGGTGTGTAATACTGAAATAAGATATGAGCCCGTAATATGTAGGAAGGTTGATATTGAGCACTGCCATGCGCATGCCTTCAGTTGACCTGAACTTAATATATAATAGTACAGAACCTATAATATAAAAGTTCAGGCATTATTTAACAGAACCCTTTAAACAAGAACCCTGTTTTAACCAGACCTACTCATTGCCAGGGTACTCGTAATATGTTAGAAAAATTATAATGTTCCAAAGTTAGGAGTGAAAGTGCACAAAGGTGGATATGTGACAATCCTAGAGAGGAAAATGTTAGGGAAGAGTAGAAAAGGCATAAATATTGGCCTTCCATATGGCAATCAGCCAATCTGCCATTTCTGCATACAAAGCTAGTTGAAATAGGTAAATATTGCCTGAAGATCCCCCCCCCCCCCCCCCCCCCATCTATGCCTAGCATAAGTCCTATTTAAACACTAATTATGGCCATACACATGGCATTTTTCAGTCACAAAAACTACTGAACAAATCAATGCAAACTATTACTAAAAGCTTCAAATGAAACAATTAAATGATAGAAAGTTACAATGATAATTTTAGCAATCAAAGGGTTGATAGTGATTGAAATTGCCTGACAATTGCTGAGTGTGTGGTCAGGGTAATGCAAATCTGCAGAATTAATATCACTTGACATCCACAAGGCCCTCAACACCGTTGAATTG